CGCCCGCCCGCACCGATCTATCTGCCCCGGCCTCAGCGCCCTCCCCCCACATCTCACACATCACCTACCCCGCCCCCACGCCGGCCCCGCCCCCACCTCGGCTGTCCCGATTCCAGCCCCGCCGCCCGCTCGGTGGCGCCTCTGCCTGGAAGCGGAAGCGGAAGCAGCAGCAGCAAGTAACGGACCCAACGGCTCCCTCGGTGCGGTGCAGCGTCCACGGCTGAGCCCGCGGCCTCCCCCTGCCGCGTGCGGAGATGGGCGGGGCCGGAGCAGAGGCAGGGAGTGATTGGTGGGCGGGCGCACTGAAAACTCGGCCGGTACGGAAATGGGGGGGCTCAAGCCGCGCGTGCGCAGCGGGTTCGGCGCCTGAGCCAGGGCGTAGCTCAGACGGGGACCGGGACACGGGGGGGTGGAGCGACGCAGAGAGGGTTGCGGGGCTGTGACTGGTGAGGGGGAGGGACACTGGCAGCTCCCTCACCCAAGGGAGCGAATCTGCTTCCCTGCAGTTGCTCTCACGGGGGGGGGCAGGAAACTTACCTCTGGGTCTAAAGCCTCCGCAGTTACAAGGCAAATATGTAGGGCGCCTCCCCCCCCCAACACACGGCTCCCAGTTTAATGTCCCTGTTAAAACCCGTCTCAGCATTTGGGGGCGGGGGCAAGTGGACGGGGCTGGGCGCCTGCTGTCTGATTGGTGCCCAGGCTTCAATGTCAAGCCAGAGTCACAGTAGGGCGCTGGGATTGCCCAGTTCAGTTTCGCTGAGTTACAAGACAACTGATGGTTCCAGTCTGGTTCCTGGTCACTTAAAAATCCCGGTTCTCCGGATCTGGTTCTGTTCTAGTGATTCCAGCTGCTCGAATCAAAGCAGCATCTGCTGAGCTGGCACTGGGGCAGCCTAGAGGGGCTCAGGCATGTGGGGAGGGGACCTTGGTTACAGCACAGGCAGAGGAGGCTGGTGTCTGTCTGCTCAGGATACAGAGCCCCAGAGCTGGCTGAGTTTCCTGTGTCAGACGCTGCCACCTTTGACACTGTGATCTAGGAGCTCAGGTGGGAGGGAGTACTAGGGGATAGTGTGGGGAGCTGCAGGGGGGTTGTGGCAGATGGGGATGGGCAGGAAATACACAGCATGGGACAGGGTGGGATAAACCTGCTCAGCCTAGGGTCTGATGGTCAGAACAGGGACATTGGGAGGAGAACAGACCCATTGGTAGGGGAGTTTCCTCTTTCTCCCATTTTTGGAAGAGAAAACTTCCCATGGACAGGGCTGGGAAAACTGACCAGAGTCTCCATTGGCTGCTAGTCAGGATGGGCAGGGAGGGTGTCCCGAGCCTCTGTTTGCCAGAAGCTGGGAGCGGGCAATGGGGTGGATCACTTGGGGATTCCCTATTCTGTTCATTCCCTCTGGGGCACCTTCATTGGCCACTGTGGGCAGACAGGACACTGGGCTAGAGGGGCCTTTGGTCTGACCCAGCCTGGCTGTTCCTGTTTCTCATGCTGGAGACAGAGCTCACTAGCCAGAAGCTGCCATGAACTAGGAAGGGGCTGGGATTCCTGTCCCTGTTGCCTGTCTGCTCCCACCTCAGCCTGTGGGGCAAGTGGGTGACTGAGAAGACCCTGCCCAGCTCCATCTGCTGGGAGGCACAAGGAGCTCTCCCCTCCTTCTTCCCTGGAGTCTCCTGGCCTCTCTGGGCAGTGCAGGGTGGGATTCAGCTTCTAGGTCTTCCTCCATCATGACTAGTGGAGCTGTGGCTGGGGCAGCAGGCACTGATGCCGGTGACCTTCGAGGAGGTGGCTGTATATTTCACCGCAGGGCAGAGGGCTCTGCTGGGCCTGCTCAGAGAGCCCTCTACAGCAGCATTTCTTAAACTGTTCCTGGGCACACTGGTGCATTGCGAGGTAGTTGGAGGTGTGCTGTGCAGAGAACTGAATTCAAACTGACTGCCCTTAAAGGGGCAAGCTTCCTTTTTTTTTTTTTTTGGTCAACAACTTTTCCCTGAGGCTGCTTTTTTTCTCCCTCAACCAAAAATGCTTGGTGTTCTCCATAAAAAAAAATTAATTGTTTGGTGTTCCTTGGTCTTCAAGAGTTTAAGAAACACTGGGGCGTCATGCAGGAGAACTATGAGACTGTGGCCTCGCTGGGTAAGGATTCCTAGCAGAGCCCTGGGGCCAGCATTTCTGTATCTAGCCAATTGGATTAGAGCAGAGGTGAGCAATAGTTTTTAAAAGGGGGTCATGTACAGATTTCTGAAGTGGCTCCAGCCCACCCTAGAAGGGCTGTGGAAGGGCCAGGGCCAGAAGACTTCTCGAGCTCCCCCGCACAGAGACCCTGATTGGCCTGGGGGAGTGGCAGCTGGGGCAGTTTCCCCCTCTGGCCCCACTCCCTCAGTGCCTACAGAGGATCACCAGCTATTTTAAAAGGAAGAGGGACCAATCAGGCCTGGAGCATACAGTGGCTAGACAGTTTTAAAACAGTCAGTGTTTCCCTCCGCTGGATGCCCTTGGAGGGGAAAGAGATTCTGTGTGCTCCCTGTCCCCAGATCTCAGTGGGTCTGCAGGTGAGGGAGTGGCAGGGTGGCCAAACACTGGATCCACTGGCTTGGCAGGCTGGAGCTGACTCGCAGAGGCCCCCTTTGATCACCCCTAGATGAAAGTGAAGTGGGACCGAAAGCCCCTGAGTGAGAGACACTTTCATCACAATGTCCATTTCTCTGGAACAAGGGGCACCTAAGGGACATGCTAATTCATCCCCAGCTTTCAGGGGCCAGAAGCAGGGAACTGTCCTGTCTACATTATTTCTCCTACACACACCATTTACCTGCCACCTTAGGACTAGCTCCATTGTGGGGAGGGCTCTAGGTTCTGCAGGCTTGGAAATAGGCAGGAGTTTAACCCCAGAGCTGTGTGTGTGTCAGCAAGTCCCCCAGAGCCCTCAGATCATTACAGTTCCTAGTGAGGCATGACAACACACTCTGTCACCTAGGGGTGTGGAGTCATCAGGCCCTGCAACTCCATCAGCAGCCAGACACAACTCTCAGATGGCAAGTAAAACAGAAGGTTTATTAGCTCACAGGGATACAAGACTAAAAAAGATTTCTTAGCGCAGGAACCAGGAGCAATTGGTACAATCCATCTCAGGGAGAAAGGGGCCTAGAGCCAAGGACTTCCCCATGCCCCCATCTCTTTTCCCTAAGCCAGTGAGACTCACTTCCACACTCCACAGCTCATCCCTGGCTTCAGCCATCTATTTTAGGCAAAATGCTTCCTGGGCAAAATGTGTCTGAGTTGCACAACCCTCCCAGGCTCCGATTGCCATGAGCCTGGGCCATTGTGAATGTGCTGGCCTGGGCATCCTCCCTCAATGAGTCACCCCCAAATTCCCATCCCCATCTGGACAGTGGTTCAGTGCCCAGGGAAACTGAGGCGCACACGGGGTTATTACAGGATAGTAGAAATCACATGCAACACTAGAAAGACATTGTCACATCCCCACCCCAGTGCACCCCAGAAGTCTGCTGCTCTCAAGCTGCATGAGTTTCCCCAGTTCTATGTAGGATGAGATTGAGCTCAGAGAATGTTCCTTCTGACACATACTCTGCCTGACTCCATGGCTGTGTCTACACTGGCGGGTTCTTGCACCAGAAATATGCAAAGGAGGCTCAGCAATATTCCACGCTCAGCCTCATTTGCATATTTCTGGCACAAGAACCCGCCAGTGTAGACATAGCCCATGTGCCTTCACCTTGCCTGATCTCACCCAGGATTCCCCATTCCCAAACCTGACCTGATCGCCCTGTCAGCCGACGGTCAGGGCAGTGTGTGTGTGTATGCTTCTAAGAAAAGGTTTAACGTCTGGGTTTTTACTGCTAGGACCGGGGTCCCGTCGCAGAGGGTGGCCAGCAGGCCAACAGACGCCCTGTTATATAGGAAGAGCTTATTACACTTTAGATTTTAACTGCTAGAACACAGGGGTTCCTTCGCAGCCTAGGAAAGGCTGAAAAGGTGCCCCAACGGATCTTGTCACCTGGGAGTGACACAGATCCAAACGCCTAAGCTCTCCCTATGTCTGTCCCTTTATGACCGGCTGAAGTTCTTTTAAATTGTGCTTGGTTCTGTTACAGCAACTGAAGGAGTCAGGTTAAAACTTAAACAGTTACAGGTTTATTAAAGAAGCTTATAAATCATATGGTTACAATGGCTATTGCTCTATTTCTTAAATGCTAACAAATACAGATTTTAAAAATGGTTACAAAGAAAATAAAGATAGAAAATAGAAATAATGGTACCAAGTGACAGCTTAATCTTTAAAGAGCTCTAAGTCTATGTATATATATACTTAAGCAAAGGACCACATCCAGGTACAATTTTTACCCCTTTCTGTGCCTCTCGACTCCAGCGTGTCAGGCCAGGGCCGGTCTCTCAATTCCTAGGAAAGACGAATACGAGGTGGGCGTCCCCTTGGAACCTCGGGAGATCAAACACCTAACCCGACCAGCAGATAGATGGTAGATTGACACTCAGAGAAAATGCGCTGCTGGACCTATCTTTATACCCCTGGGGGCCTATATCCTCTTTCTTATCTAAGATGCCGAATTGTACTGGTCCGTTTTGTGGCGCCAGTTCTTACAAGCAAGTTTCAAGTTAATTTACACTTGCAAGAGAGATAACTAAATTGTAAATACTAGACATTTTTTTACTAAGCGAGAGATTCCTTCCCCCTCAGATAGATGTGTGTTCGTATCAATATAAGTTTGAGTCAAGGGCACTCCTTGGCAGCCTCTTAGTCAACAATTAGCATATCTCTGTTTACAGCCATTCACGGTCACACAGCCTGGGCCTTCTGCTCTGTGTGCCCTAGATGCTCCAAGCAAGCAAAAATAGATGTTACAAAAAAGAGTTCCTGTCTAGCTACACGCCCGGCTGGAACAAGGGCAAGAGCCATGGGTCCCAGATCTCCAGCCCATCAAAGAAATGGAGATCCTGGGAGGCACCCACACAGGTAAGGAGTCAGGGAAACTGACACAGAAACCACTCAGTGAATGTAGGAAAAAGTTGAGGCTCCCAAAAATGAATAGGGAGGAAGGGAGAGCCCTCACTTCTGCCCCATGTAGGGCTGCAGGTATTATCCTGGCAAGTGCCTGTCATAACTCGGCAGCCATCCTGTTAGCTGGCAGGAGTTTCCTCTCTACATTTCCTTCCTTGAGAGTGTTTGGGTGGGATGTGGAGGCAGAATCCAATGTCTCAGTTTCCCGAACTATTATTGTGTTGTGCTTTCTGTCTTTGTCATTCCCATGTCGGTCCTTTGTCCCCAGCAGAGATAGTGAGTCCTGCTTGGGTTCTCTCCCAGCAAGTGGAAGGCCAATGAAGGAGAACACTCAGGAAAATCAACAGCAGGAAGGTCCTGGAACCATAGACTCACAGGGAACATTTGTGGAAAGAGTTGAAGGGGATTTTCCCCAGCATGTAGAGCAGGGGGAAGCCTGGGGGAATCGATACAGGGCAAAGAGGCAGCTGGAGAACAATCCAAGCAGGAAAGCAGAAGAATCCAGTGAATGTAGAGGAGGATCACAGGATCCTAAGGAAATTCCAGCCCAACAGACAGATCAAGATGGAAAGAAACCCTGTGAATGCTCAGACTGTGGGAAAAGATTCAGAGAGAAGTCAGGCCTTATTCTGCCTCAGAGCGGACACACAGGAGAGGGACTCTGCAAGTGCCAGAAGTGTGAAAAAAGTTTAATTGAACTGTCATCCTATATTGAAAATCAGATTTCCCACAAGGGAGAGAAATCCCATAAATGCTTGGAATGTGGGAAAAGCTTCAGTCACAGATCAAGTCTTAGTATCCATGAGAGAATCCACACAGGAGAGAGACCATATAAATGTCATGGGTGTGGGAAAGGTTTCACTCCCCGATCAGCCCTCTTTAGACATGAGAGAACCCACAAAGGGGAGAAGCCATATAAATGTCATGAGTGTGGGAAAGGTTTCACTAGACCGTCATACCTTACTGTCCATGAGAGGACCCACACTGGAGAGAAACCATATGAATGCCATGAGTGTGGAAAAAGTTTCACTGAACAATCAACCTTCATTAGACATAAAAGAACCCACACTGGAGAGAAACCATATAAGTGCTTTGATTGTGGGAAAAGTTTCAATCGGAGTTCAAACCTGAGAGAAACCATATAAGTGCAATGAGTTTGGAAAAGATTTTACTACACCATCAGGCCTCATTAGACATCAGAGAACCCACACAGGAGAGAGACCATATAAGTGCAACGAGTGTGGAAAAGGTTTCACTGCACAATCAGGCCTCATTAGACATCTGAGAACCCACACAGGAGAGAGACCATATCAATGCCATGAGTGCAGAAAAGATTTCAATATATCATCAGACCTTACTGTCCATGAGAGAACCCACATAGGAGAGAAACCATATAAGTGCAATGAATGTGGAAAAGGTTTCACTGCACAATCAGGACTCATTAAACATCAGAGAACCCACATGGGAGAAAGACCATATAAGTGTTTTGACTGTGGGAAGAGCTTCAGTTTGTCCTCGCACCTCATTATCCATCAGAGACTGCACACAGGAGAGAGACCATATAAATGCAATGAGTGTGGGAAAGATTTCACTGTACCGTCAGCCCTTACTGTCCATGAGAGATCACACACAGGAGAGAAACCATATAAGTGCAATGAGTTTGGAAAAGATTTTACTACACCATCAGGCCTCATTAGACATCAGAGAACCCACACAGGAGAGAGACCATATAAGTGCTTTGACTGTGGGAAGAGCTTCAAGTTCACCTCACACCTCATTGCCCATCAGAGACTGCACACAGATGAGAGACCATATAAATGCCATGAAAGTGGGAAAGATTTCACTCGCCAATCAGCTCTTACTGTACATGAGAGAACCCACACAGGAGAAAGGCCATATAAATGCCCTGAGTGTGGGAAAGGTTATACTGCACGATCAGCCCTCATTAGACATGAGAGAACCCACACTGGGGAAAAACCATAGAAATGCCTTGACTGTGGGAAAAGCTTCACCTCAGAACTTACTAGACAAGAGAGAATCCACACAATTCCTTGCATCAGCCAATCCCCCAGGGAAGAAACCTCTCAGATTTCAGTACCTGGTGTGTAAAACACATCTGTTAGAGCCTGGGCACCAGAGACTGCTCCACAACCAAGGGAAATTCTGCCTAATTCCCACACACAGGTGAGTGGCATTTGACCTCCAGGGATCCAGGTGTCCAGTGCTGCAGTAAGGAGACAGTAGCACCTAACCATCAACTCGTCAATGACCCTCTGGCTCTGCCTGGTCTAAGCAAACTCCAGGCAGAGTGGGAAACCCCAATCATCCCTCCTGCTGGCTGCAGCCCTGCATGCTAAGCTGCTGGGCCATAGGGTGAGAACGAAGAGACACAGACTCCTCTAGATGTTCCCTGGGCCTGCCTCAAGTTTCCCCTCCCCCTTGCACTCCCAGCTGGGATCCCCCTGCCATGGAGATTATGAAAAGGACACGTGGGCCAGGCCCCACTTTACCTCTAGACATCTGTCCCCACCCCCATTTTCCATCTCTCTTTGGCTGGGCTCCTGCACTGCCCTAGATCTGTTCCCTGGAAGAGGCGTGTGGAGCAAGACTGCTAAATCTTCCCCTCCCTAAATCCCACAGGGACACTGGGATCTGTGAGACCAAATTCTGAGGGGCCAGGACACTTTGTGGAGGAAACTGGGGCAAGAGCTCCACACAGATGCAAAAAAGTGTGTGCAGAGCCACAGAGTTGCAAGGCTCAGTCCCAGAAAGGGGCAGGTGTGTGTGTGGGGGGAGGGGAGGGGGCTGCAGCTTCCCACAGTTGCCTGTGTGGCTGTCCCAGACCCTGCTCTTGTGACAGGGCAGCTCAGAGAGCCAGCCTGGCCATGATAAGAGCCCCATTCCCTGGGCAGACAGTGAGCCCATAGCACAGGCTCCGCACAGCTGTTTTCTGGGCTCTTACCCTCAGAACCCTGTGCAGATGCAAAAACTTGTGTCCGCAACTGCAAAACTTCTCTGGGGATCTCTGGAGATATGTGCGCATTTGCAGGGCTCTGCCCCAGACCTGAGCACGTGGGGGGGAGGAGGAGGGCAGTTCCCTGCAGCAGCCCGTGTGGCTCTCCCAGCCCCTGCTCTCGTCACAGGGTGGCTTAGCGCTGCAGTGGCCATTGCAAGAGTAAGGTGGGCAGCTGTAGGGCAGCAGTGGCCCTTCATCTGCCCTGGGAATGGGCTCTGAGGAGCCCTCCCATCCCAGGCAGGTGGAGGGTCCATACCAGAGTTCCTCAGAGCAGCTGCCTGGACTCTTACCCTCATAGCCATGTGCAGATACAAAATGTGTATCCACACCTGCCCTGGTAACTGCTCGATGGGTAGCAGGTACAGAGCGGCTCCCTGCAATGCTCCCTTTTAAAGGTAGCATCTGCTTCAAGGCAGAGTGTGATGCGTTTTCATTATTGATTCTGATTCCACATTCTGTTTCAGTGTTACACTCTTACTGTATCTATCTTAAAGGATTGTGTCTTGCAAAAGGTGCTGAACTGTCAGGGACAAGGAGGCGGTCTTATGGGCTAGAGATTAACCATTAAGCTAATTAGGCTCTCCCATGGGGCTACGTCTACGCTGCAGCCTTCAACTTCCTGAAGGGAGGTTCCAAAGAGGATGGAGAGAGGCTGCTCTCAGTAGTGACAGATGGCAGAACAAGGAGCAATGGTCTCAAATTGTGGTGGGAGAGGTCCAGATTGGATATTAGGAAAAACTATTTCACTAGGAGGGTGGTGAAGCACTGGAATGGGTTGCCTAGGGAAGTAGTGGAGTCTCCATCCCTAGAGGTGTTTAAGTCTCGGCTTGACAAAGCTCTGGCCGTGTTGATTTAGTTGGAATTGGTCCTGCCTAGAGCAGGGGGCTGGATTTGATGACCTTCTGAGTTCTCTTCCAGTTCTATGATTCTATGAGTGCAGGCACTGCCTGGGGAGGGAGCGGCTGGGGCTATTGAGTGCTTGAGGAACATGGGATAAAAAGGCAGGGAGAGTGGTGGAGCAGGGAGAAAGTTCTACCTCTGACCATTCACTGCCCCTGCCTTCTCCCTGCTCCCTCTGCAGTCAGACAGTCCCAGGAGAGGGGTGATTCCCACGGGCTCTTCTGTGGGAGGCCCAAAGCCCCTACCTCTGAGTCTGCAGCCTCCTCCTCGGAGGGTCTCTGTGGAAGGAAATGTGGTGGGGATTGGCCAGTGCGTCCCTGGGACCAGATTTCCTAGTGTAACCTGCCCCTGAGCAGCTGGTGTCCTGCTCCCCATTAGTAGAGTGATTACTAGTCCCTGAGTACCCTGTGGGGCTGGATTGGCTCCTTCCCAGACACTCTCATGTGCACGACTCAACAAATTATGCAACATCCTACTTGCCAGACAAAAAAGGGACTCGCCACTCTCCCCACCCCCACCGCACAGGCGCGCATCACCGGAGAACAGGACGACCAGGACGGCATGTTTGTTTACGTCAGTTATCATGGCCACGGTTATTGTTTTGTCATTCTTTGATGTTTTGACGTGGTCTCAAAAACTTCAGTGAAAATTACAACAGTATTTTCATAGGTGTGTGCAGAACATTTCATTAGGGTGTGCACCTGAAGAATTTTTTTAAAATGTACTCTTTGACCTCCATTAACCATGCCCCTGACCCCATTAGCCACAGCTCTGACTCCTGTTAACCATGCCTCTGACCCCCATTAGCCACGCCTCTGGAGGTAACACTCTCGGGGCAAGATGGACATGTGACCAGAAGGAAAAGGTTTCATTTGACCCCCCTCTAAAGACTTTTCCCATCATCTTCCTACCAAGAGGGATTAGTTTGGTCCCCAACAACCCCCCCTCCCCCCATGCAACTATCCTGCAATTGCATTAACCCACTGTGCGTGACGTTAACTCGGGGGCAGAGAGGCTGGGGGAAGTGTTCCCTCTAAGAGTTTCCTCCCATGAGCAGAATGAATTTTGTGTTGTGCACCAGTACTGAGTTCATATGGCTTGTTTGATGTGCCACTGTGGTACCCAAGTTATTAATAAATATCTTTTAAACCTCTACCTTTTCCCTCTGCTGCCTTGTCTCCTCCCCTTGGTCCATCAGGTCCCCTGGTGCCTGCTGCCCCCAACCCCTCACTCTCCTCTGCTGTCCTGACTCCTCCCCTTCTCACTGCCCTCAGCCTTCCTGAGATCTGCCCCACTCAACCAGCCCTTCTCTCCCCACCATGCCCACTCCTCCAGTAGCCCCACTCTGATCATGTGAGCTACCCCTCCTCATCCGCTCTCCTAACACCTCCCTCTACACACCTGCCCTACCTCTCTCCTCTGGTCCCTCCCCTGCAGGTGTCTGCCCTTCTGCTTCACCCCCAGAATCCCCTTGCATCTGCACCCTTCTGGTGCCTCGCCCTTCCCTCACTGCCCCTGCCCCCTTTGCCCTCTTTTTCCCTGATGCCCACCCTCTCACCACTCTGCCCCCATACCTCTCATGCCCCTTTGTCCTCACACATGCCTTGCTCCATCCCTGCCTTTCTCATGCCCACCCTTCTTTCAAGCCTTCTCCTAGCACCATGGTCCCCAACACGGTGCCCACGGGCGCCATGGCGCCAGCGGGGGCACTTGCATGCGCCCGCCAGGTGCTCGGGGCTGGCCTGGCCCCGGGCACATGGCACACAGGGAGTGCCGGCCCCGGGCGCGCAGCCCTTGGAGGGGGCACCGGCCCCAGGCGCGTGGCTATGGGGGGGGGGCCGCCCCCGGGCATGCGGCTATGGGGGGGCACCCCCGGGCACGCAAGTGTCCCCACCCCCTGGCGCCCGGTGGGCGAACGGCCACGCCCCCTGGCGCCCAACAACCTCAAAAGGTTGGGGACCACTGTCCTAGCACCTCCTCCTTCCCTCTCTAGCCCCCAATGCCCCTCCTCTCTCGTCTCCCAGCACCACCCTGTCCCCCCTTCCACTGACACCTCCCTTCCTGCCCTTTTCCTCATTGTCTCCACTTGGCCCCCTGGCATTTGTCTCCTGCACCCCTGTCCCTTGGCGCCTTCCCCTTTCTTCTGACCTGCTCCCCTCTCCTCCTCTCCCCTGCCCTCTCCTCAGTGCAAGCCCCTTCCCCCTATTTCCCCCCTTCCCTTCCCCTTCCCTACCTGGCTTCTGCCTTCTAGTTTGCGGGGCTGCCAGAGCCTTTTTAAATCCGGTGGTCGCCGGCCGTGATGTCATGATACCACATCATGCCAGCATCCTGGCGTCCCGTCCTGTGGTTCATGCCCCGCCTCCTCGTGCTGGAGCTGCACGCAGGCAGCCCAGTGCTGAGAATCGCCACACTTCCCACTCTCTGGTGGTGCTCCACTCCTTCGCCCAGCTGGTGGATCAGCCAGCCCGTCAGAATGGCCCATCATTCGCCAGCTGGTAAAATCTACTCGTCACGGGTGAGTGGGCGAGCGTATTGTTGAGCCCTGCTCAAGTGACTCCATGCTGTACTGAAAAGCATTTATTGTTTGTCCATTTCCCGCCTGCTGGGCCAGAGCTCACTAGATGCTCAAACAGTGCAACAGTGAAATGTGTTTTCCCGCCAGTGCCAGTGGAGGGGGGTAGGTGAGTTTGAGGGTTCCCTCCTTCTCCCCCCACCCTCAAATTCCACCCTAGACACAGGAACCTTGGTCCCTGCTATGGAGAGTTTTATCCTCTCCCTGTTCTACCGCTGTACCTCCCCAAGGGTCACTGCCCAGAGCAGCCTGGGCTCTTCGTGTGCAGGGATCCCAGAGTGATTTCTGTGTGTCCTAAGTCAGGCTCCCGAGGGCTGCAGGGGAAAGTGTCATAGGCCTGGGCATGGGCAGGGAAATCCCAATGAACTTCCCAGTACAGTGTGACCCATCCCATCTCCCAGCCCTGGTTCCATCTCCGGGTGCAATTGTTGCTGGGCTTTTCTGGGCGACTCCAGATCATTTGTTCATGGGAACGTGGGTTTTTTTTCTTTTTGTTTTAGTGAGATGACATAGAGAACTTTTGTAACTAACACAGCCATGATAAGAGGTGAGAAGTAAAGCAGGTTTAGCCACTTCAGAAGAAAAGTGGTAAATGTATTTCCTGCTTTCAAGGCTTAAATGATTCCCTGATGTTTCACTGTAGAAACTTGAAAGTGTTTAACAGCCCACCCTGTATCATGGGTTTTCTCTTTGTGCGAAGGCCGTTGGGTTGCATGCTTTGATCTCCAGTTAGTTAAATGTGCAGACAACACAACACAAATGATCATTTGCCAGAATTTTCATTGTATTTTAACCATGTTCTAGCCTTTGCCCAAGCTGTGTGTGTGTGGTTTGGGCAATGACAGTGGTCAGTATCTCTCAGCAGTGGGGTGGGAGGGGGCAGAGAAAGGGGAGATGGAGGGCATGGGGGATGCCTTGACACTGCACCTCCTCAAGGATGGGCTTGGCTGCAGGTTTCTAATCCCCCAACCGAAGCACTGCAGGCGGGATCCAGCTGAGTTTGGCCAGCTACAGCCTGGCCACAGGGCTGTTATCTCACTATAGACGCTGGGATGGACACCCCCTCTCCCCCCCTGCAATGCTTTATGAAATGGACTGATGAACACAAATGTACCTAACTCAAAGATGCTTTGAGAAAATTATTTCATGCAACTCATCAATCTTCATGTCATGATCTGCTGGCAGTGTGTCTGACTTCAATGTATCATCTTTGTATGTAACATTAGACCTATGGAGTAGGGAATACTTGATGGGTTTCCAGTGTGTGAATGAGGCATCGAGGGTGTTACCCTCAATGTCTTGATGAGCAACTGTTACACAATCTTTTATCTTTAAGTCTGAGCAGGGGTTGGTCAGGGGTCGCCTAAATTCCTTAAGAAGACTGGGGAAGCAGGGGCCTTGGTCTTTTGGCTGGACTGCATCTGAAGGAAGGAACCAAAGACCCCAGGGTGGGGGAAAGCCCTGATTTGGAAGGGAAGCTGGAAAAGAAATTTTAGGATGAGTTTGTAATGAGGTTTTAGAGTAGCATTAGCCAAGCATTTTTTTGTTGCTTTTGAGTTTGTAATCTATTTTGCTCTGCCTGGTCTCACTTATCACCACTTAAATCCTACAGCTTTTACTTAATAAAACCACTTTTACTATCAAGCCCAGTGTAAACAATTATTACCTATGGGAGCAATCGGTGTGCACATTCCCCTTTCATTGCTAAATAAGGTTTACCCCATTCTTTGGGATTTGATCCCATTTGGGGAGTGCTATCCCAGGAAGCTGGGCCCTAAACTGCACTCTTCTCAGACCTGAAGAGGTTCAGTGTCTCTACTGCTGCTCAGAGGCAGGGGTGGAGGTGGGGAAGGAATCTCATCTTGGGGCCTTGGTCAGGGGAGACTAAGGAGCTGCCCCGGCAGGACTGGGCGGT